TTTTTTGAAGTTTTATTCTTCCTGCACATTCTCTGTTTCCTCCACTTTCCTTTTCTTTTCTTTTTTGCTGTTTGCTTTTCATGTTAAATATTTTCTACTATCTGGTCATTGTTGTCTGCTCATATTAACAGTGGGGTGTTAAAATATTGATGGGCAGCTTTGTAAGCATGGGGCGATAGTGTTTCTGCAGAGTGATCTGGTTGACCATATCCTTGGGGGAACCCATGCTAACATCTTTAAATCTTTCCTATTGGGCTGCTCATCTTCCCAATGAAAACCTCTTCTAGCACTCTGCCAGTAGTCTGGCAGTCAAGGGAGAGGAGAATGCTTGAAACTTCTACAGCAATTGTGTAAATTTTCACTTCTCTCCTTGTTTTCCAGTGCTTTCACATTTGCTTGTTGTCTACCAGCCCTGAGATCTCTGATGTTAGCTTTTCTAGAGGAAACTTCTCCAGTCTTCTAAAAAGGCAGGGACATTTGAAAATGGTGATACGGGAATCTGTTTCCTCAAAAGACTTTCAGCCATTTATATCCTCTTTTCCAGAGAAATATGATCCCTTGACCTCTGAGCCTTTTGGGAGTTCTGTGGTTAAAACTGGACTCAGAGTTCCAGGAAGTGCTAAGTCAAGTACACTTCTGCATCTGATGTCCAGCTTCTAAAATTTTGTTCCCATTCTCTCTGTGCCTAGGGGTTTTCATATTTTAAATCCCATCATTATTATTATCCTTACAAAGTTTCAGGAGGGAGCAGAGCCAAAATCATGTGTCTAATCGAACACCTGTAACCAGAAGCATCACCAATTTAATCCAAAGTATAAATGATACCAGTAAGGTGTTCAGAACAGAAACAGTAGTCACATTATAGGCGGTGGCAGTCAGATCACATCTGAACAACATCTTGCATTCTGAGAACCACAATCTGTGGTTGACAACCTATAGACTGCCCAGAGAAGAGAGATGACAGTGGGTCAAGATGCAAAACCCAATTCCATGAGAAGCAGCTGAAGAAATTATTGATATTTATCTAGAGAAAAGAAGGCTTCAGAGATGCCATGACCGAAATTTGAATGCAGCTAAGTTGAACACTGATGGGGTAATTATACCAACTCTCTGTTCAAAAGTTTTGAAAGGATAAGAACATCATAGCTCTTTTTAAATATTTAGTTGGCTGTTACATTCAAAATGGCTTAGACAGTAAGCTTGGTTTCAGGGGACATAAAAAGGAGAACTGAACCAAGTGAAAGCCAAACACGTTGGCTCAGTATCAGGAGAACCTACCACAGGAGTCTAGAGCACGGGTATGAACAGGGACCACGTGAGTAACACAAATGTGTGAACTGGCTGGATTATCATATTAGCAACTGAAAAGAGCATGGCACGCATTCAGTGAGCAGCAGTATGGGAAGATTCTAATTTTTCAAAAGAAGTCATACTTCTTGATACTTATTTGTAACATTCTAATTCTTGGACAGTAAATTATTTAAGAAAATTCTGTATCTTTTACCAAACATAAGGGTGGGATGAATTCATCCTATGGGACTCTGGGTTGGGACCTCTCTAATGCTTAGATCTAATACTGGCTATTTTCATTGGAATTGTCCAAGCAAGACTGGCTGGTTACGTATCAGGCACATCACTGAGAATAAAGTTGAATTAAGTAATGTCTAATTGCCTTTTCACATCAGAGATTCTGTGTCTGAAACTTGATTTTTTTAAAAAAATGTAGTTGTCCGTGAAGTAAATGTGGCCTTTGAATCATACCTATTCTCTTGTTTTCGTTCCCCCTTCTTTTACCCTTTTCAGTCATTTAACGTCACTGTGCAAACCCTGCACAGAAACTGTGCTATTCTTAAGTGGCAATTTACATGTGTTTTTTTTTTTTTTAAAAGAATCATCTAGGAATGAGGTATAATTGTAGGTTTCACTGATGTTAAGTGTTATTTGTGTTTTTCAATAATCTGCATAGTCACAATACCCCAAAGTAGTGTTATTTGAATTATTTAATGGAAAAAAATAGCACATGCATGGTGGATTCATACTAATCATAATTTAAAAGCTGGGATATGTATTTGAGGCCATGATCCATTCCTCTAGCGTGCAGTTGAGGGGCTTGAGACCCAGAGAAATTAAATGACTTGCTAACTCGTGCCTGGTATATGGTACATGGTGTTGGGAAGAGTAAGAAAAGGAAGAGAAGACAGGACTTCGTTCCTAGGAAGTTTACAATCTCAAAGGAAGAGTCAGGACACCACACAAATATCTATTAGAAGCAATTAAAGTACAGAGGATCCAAAATGATGTAATTATGCTTCGTTACAATTACTCCTGATGGCTTAGGAATTTCCTTCAACCAAACAAGAAGTGATACTTTGAACCTTGAACTCAGGACAAGCTCCATGCTGTGTGGCTTTCCCCATCTTTTTCTATGATCCTCCATCTCCTTCCTGCCACTGCTTCTATGCTGGAAACTTTCATCATCAAACGACTAAGTAAATTGGGAATGAGAGATGTATAAAAGAGTAATAATGAAGAGTAAATGTTAGCTACCAAATAATTAGCTTGCAACAAAATCAACATTAAAATGAGTGCCCCCTTACATTTGATAAGGAGGTACTGAGAATTTGCTAAGAACGTTAGTATATTTCTCTCCACTTTCCATAATGTAGTGTTGACTCTTTCCATACAATCCTGATTTCTTCTCATAAAGAAAATATAGAAAGTGATCATCTTAGCTCCATAAATATGAATACTGTTCAGGAGACAATTACTAAGAGAATGAAGTTACAAATTAAATAATTCCATTTTCTTCCTGACACATTAAAGTAAGAAAGACATAAATATCAAAGTCCTAAGCTTATCATTTAAAAAATAACTGTCTCCTGACTAAGACAGTTTAAACACATACAAAGATAAGGTGACAGCCTTTCATGAAAAGAGAACGCGAGCTTTGAAATTTAGTGTGATGTTTATAGGTGATCTTCCAAGAAGATACGTGGAAGGTATTATTCATTGCAGGAAACTGGAAGGTATAATGTGATGGAATAAGGATCACATTTTTCTCTTTGAGGTGATTTATATTTAAATTAGTTCTCTGTAATCCTTTAAACTAGAGCGCAAATTGGTTATCAAAGTCCTTTGCTGTAAGGGTTGTTTTACATAATAATGAATTTCACAGAAGCTCCTCAAAGGGAAATATTGATTTAGGCAACATCACAAGGTATTTCAGTTACAGCAACACTTCAGTGCCACAGACAGCATATAAGAAACTTTCTGAAATCTAAATTTCTCTATTAAGACGTGTAGGCAGCATACCTTTATATCAATATCATTGTCATAGGAATTTTTAATAAAAAGATTCAGCTTTGTCTATCATTTCTTATCCACTTTAACTAAATGAATGCTGATGAGAGTCCACCACATGCTAGATATATGGCTGGTGTTTTTAAAAAATGGGCTGTATAAAAGGAGCAGTCAGTGTTCATTTGTGTACATATGTTTGTGCTACTGCCAAGCCCCCAAAAGTTCCAATTATTAGGCCTTTACTCCGCGTGAGGTACGACGCCATGTAACTTACATATGCCACTTCATTCATTTCTCACAGTGTGAGGAACCATTATTACCTCATTTTATAAATGAGAAAACTGAGGCTAAGTCACTGGTATGTGAATTTCGAATCAGAACTTATTTCTCTCACCCATGATGCTATCCTACCACCTCACATCTGGCTTCTTTTCATCCTGGAGCCCCCTACGTCTCATGGCCGGAAGTAAGCTCTAGTCCTCCCCCCACGGATACAGTCAACAAACAGGCAGTCTCCTCTTTGTTATAGCTCGGGGCCCCAGATCCCAGACCATTCTCATGGAGTAGGAATTTCCCAGGTAGCCTCATCTCAGTGAAATCCTGGGATTAGGCCCTGGGTGGAACCTGAGACTGAGACTATAAATTGGAAAGGGCACTGAATTCACTCATAAGACCTGGTTTGAGACCTAAGTCTATCACTAGCTAGTTATGTGGTTGCGGAAAAAGCAATTTACCTCGTTGGACCTGTTTTCTCATCTGTGAAGCGGCGAGTTTGAATTTGATTATAATGGCTTCACAACCGTATTATTTATTTTTTAAAAAGTAAAGCTCTTTTAGTAAATTAAATCTTATATTGAATCCCAATATATAAGACAGATACAGGTAGAGCTCTACCGATTGGAGCAAGGAGGAGGAGTTCATGGATGAGTTCATCTCCTTCCTGGGGCTCCTTCTAACCCTTATCTCATCTTCAAGGAGACTCTGACACATCCAAGACCTTGCAGAATACAATTTTCAAACTATGCACAAGCTCATCTCTAAGTTAATCCCAGTTCTCACATACTATGATTTTAAAAATATCTGTAGCCATGTGAAAAGGGCATTAGAATTGTATTAGAATCGAACTAGGGTCAAGGCTGATAATTCAAAGGAGAGAGGATGTTAAGTCGTAAAGGATGTAATCAAACAACTTGGCTGTGGGTGACCAGGGACATTCTAGATGCTAAGGATCCTGAAACTGGGTACTGAAGTCTTTGAAGTGTTGCAGCAATGCAGGAGCTGAGCTTTGTAATCATGGCTTTTGAAATCTGTTAAATTTTGCTGTAGTTAATTTAACAAAATGTGAATACTATTACAGCCTGACAGTATTATTCCATTAATCCATTTTATTTTCTTAAAGTTTTCTTGATACTGAGATATAAACTTTTAATGATGATCCAACTATTACTTATTATTACCATCAAAATACTTTTCCCTTTGTTAAAAATATGGATTTTAGACAAATTGGTTCATGTTGTCTAAAAAATAAAAACTCAAGCCCCATTGTTGCAACTCGAGGCTTGAAGACTTTATTCGAGCATCTGTATTAAACTCTGTTAAACTCAGCCTGGGTCCCCCCGGACCTGCTCTGTCTCCGTGATTGACAGTGTTTCACTGACTTAATTCCGACATGTCTGTGGCCACAGATCCTTTTCACTTACCTGCCTCCGCCTTCTGCTGCTTCTCAATCTTCTCCAGGCGCCCTAGCAAGGAGTCTATTTTAGTTTTGATCTGGGTTAATTCTTTCTTGATTGTCTGTAACTCATCTGATTTCACTAGAAAGGGGAAAAGGGAAAGAAAGCAACAGAACGTCAAATGCACCATGACTCACTCAGAACCCAACTCACAGACACCCATGTGTTCTCAAGACTGTGTCAAGGCACACAGGATCCTTTTCAATCTTGTCAGTTTCTCATTACTTCCAGTGACCCTGGAGTACTGGATGACTTTGACAACTACAAACAGTGAGTCTCAGTGACGTGAGCATTCAATGCTAAATCTTTTCACTGAAGGTTATGCCAAGGGATAGAGGATTCTAGAAATATTTTATAAAACAACTAAATGATGCTAAATTTACTTCTGGCAAATAATAGAGTAAATCCACAGTGTAAAATGGATTTGGATTAAGGAATGATTAAATCATGACAGGTATGTTAATACGACTTTGAGGACTATGTTGTAATATCTATTTCAGCAGTCAATGATATTTTTAATCCAGTTCCTTGATGATTTAAAGCACAGTATACATTTATCCTCTAAAGGAATGCATTAGATGTGAAAGAACTCTCTCCAACTTACTGAACTCTTCCTACTTCCTCTGCTCTTTGTTTTGGAATGAGGGAGTGAGTTGTGCTTGCCTCTCTCTAAGCCCTGGGGCTGGAGGAAAGGAAATTCACTGAAGTTCCCACAGATATTTTCTAACAGTAGTGGTTCCCAGTCCAGGGTTTCAGTGCTTAGTATGGTTTCAAAGAAAAAAGAATGGGGACTAATATAAGACGGACAACTTTCCATTTTGCCAAGTAAGGATGTTAATAATAACAACAACACAGCAACCATCCTATTACCAACTATAATATGTATTTTATAAAGAAAGGGGCTTAAGAAAAGGAAAATCTCGGATTCTTCCAAGATGGCGCCGTGAGTAGTCCTCTTTGTCTCTCGCCCTTCGAGTCTACAATTATTTGGACACTTATCGCTTGACAAAGGATATCCAGACAGCATCTCAGGACGTCTGAGACACCCACGCGACTATACATCGGAAGGCGGACGGACTTTCCTCCGGGAGGATGTGGAAATAGGTGAAAACTCTCCGACCCCGACGGGCAGCCTAGTACCCGCAAGCGGCTTTCTTCCAACGGACGCCCCCAGAGGATCCACACACATCTAGGGCAGGAGCGAGAACACAACAGAGGAGCGACGGTGGAAACAGGTGACCAGAACCCTACTTAAACCCCCCGCAATTACTCCTAAACGCAGAGGGAAACTTTGGAGTTGCACACCTGAGCCCGCGGGGAGAGTCTCTC